ACCTGATACCCCTATCGCATTTTCTGCATCGATAACCACTACGCTAGGAGTACGTTTAAAGTAAAACTGTTGACACAAGATAGATACTAGTAGATAATACTATTAAATGTAAAAAAAAAAAAAACATTTATTGAAAATGATTTAATATATAATTAATGTATAATTATATATACAAAAGAATCAACTCATAAAGTGGAGGTCTGACAGCTTTCTCGTTGGCAAGGGGGTGCCCGGATGGAGTGGGCCACTATATCAAGTAAAAATACATTAAAGAATCAAACGCAAACATCTTTTTTTTTTTTTTGTAATCAAAAGGATTAAGACGTTTATAAAGTTATCTGCACACTATCAGTTACTCAAGTCCAATGTGAGAGGGCATTTTTTTTCAAAGCTAAAGATCATAAAGACAAGATTAAGAAATTAGACGAATTTGGAATCATACACGTTGCTATCCGGTGCACAGGTAAAAATGTCACAAGTGGGAAAATAGGAAAAATGGCACAAATCAAAAAAACGTTCAGGAAAAAATTAAAACGTACACGTTATACATCTCAGTCAGTTATCTATCATGGGTGATACACGCTTAGGCGATCATGTATCTTTCGATACATGACTGACGAAGCAAATTTTTTCCCCACAGTAGGTTGCCATTTCTTTCTGCGGCAGACCAGTTGCCATCCAAGGCTATAGAACCCAGTCTGTCCTGCTATTTACCCATAGCTGGGGGAGAAGAAAGTGATTAATACCTTTCTCAAGGGTATTAGCACGTAAGTGAATGTAATGGATTCGACTAAGATTCGAACTCGGCTCTCCGATTCCTCAATCCGAGACGCTATCCATTACTCTACAGTTATGTGCCATACGTGATACAGGCTTAGGCGATCATGTATCTTTTGATACATGACTGATGAGGCAGTGTTTTTTCCCGCAGTAGGTTGCCATTTCTTTCTGAGGTAGACCAGTTGCTATCCAAGGCTATAGAACCCCGTCTGTCCTACTATTTAACCATAGCTAGGGGGAGAATAAGAGGATTCATCCCTTTCCCTTTCGTAAGTGAATGTAAATGAATGTTATCTAGTTAGTAAATTAAATTTGGTTACTCAAAGTTCTTTTTATGATATCCTAACTTGGAAGTAACGCCTTTGCTTCAGCTGGTCAGTCATTCAGTTTATTGCTATAAATTTGGCTCGGTTGATCTTCTGTGTCTGCTGCATTTCTCTTCATGTTGTTGATGCATTTCGTGGATGCAATAGCTGCATAATCAGGAGCGTGGTTGGGGTTTTTAGCTGCTACAGGGTCAGTCATATCAAGGGTGGTGGACATGGTACCTTTACAAAAAGATGTTCTCTTAATACATTTCCACCTGATAGGAGTTGATTTTATAATCTGTTTTGTACACATGTACCCTTGGAAACAAATCGTCTCTTTTCTTTTTTTACTTGCTATAACTTCCATGATGGGCTTGTGATAGAACCTCTGATGACAACTGAACAAGGAGTCAACTGGCGTCTGATTAGAGAGTTACTCGTTCGATATTTATATTTTTTTTTAGAATTTACTAAAAAGATAACGTGTGTATTTCAGTTTTTTTTTTCCTGTATGTTTTCACTTTGTGCCATTTTCCTATTTCGCCTCTTGTACCATTTTCCTATTTCGCCTCTTGTGCCATTTTCCTATTTCCCCTCTTGTACCATTTTCCTATTTCCCCTCTTGTACCATTTTCCTATTTCCCCTCTTTTGCCATTTTCCTATTTCGCCTCTTGTGCCATTTTCCTATTTCTCCTCTTGTGCCATTTTTACCTGCGCCATTATTACCTAAATTCATTGCTCTCCATTGAAACGGAATTGTTAGATGAATTGAATGTTATTATTGGCAGATTTAAACAATCATCTAATGAACACAAACAATTGCTTTTAATATGGTGGACTGCAATTCTCTATTGTGCTTTTTGAACTAATTGTTAATGTGTAAATTGTAAAATTAAAACTATTTTAAAAATATCAAACAATTAATTAAAATAAAAAATAAATAAATTTAATTATAACATTCTGTATTCACATTCGGCATCTATGCGATGTAATTACTTTAATTGTAGCTTTTTTTCCATGTATTTTGAAAACTTTTATTCATTCGTTATGAAAATTAAATAATAGAATTGTAGTTATGGGTGGGCCCCTTTGTCTCTTGACAACCAATATATTCAGACCCAGTCCGCCACTGGACAAACCTACTAACACCAAACACCCTAACTGGGATGGGCACAAGCCTGAGTGGGGCCCCGGGCAGTGCTTTATGTTCCTCGCTAACTTATCAACATTTACTTTTTTTTTTCTATCTACCGGCCTGAATATTCGAGAAATCTTATTTAAAAAAAATAAAATAATAATAATAATGCGCTATTCTTGCTTGATCGGCAAATGCAGTTTAAGGCATGTCGGATATAACGACGGTTTCCCTCTGGCTAGAGGCACCACGTTCGAATCCTGCCGTAAAGTACATATTTTTCTGTAATAAGAGTTCGTGGATATTCAGTTCGGTTAAAAAAAATGGAAGTTATATATATAGTTTCCTCCAAAGAAAAGTGATATCTAAGGTTTAAAAATGAATTTAAAAAATGAAAACAATATTTGTTTGAATAAAAAACAGACCACGTTAAGATTCCATGTAATAAGCTATTTCACCATAACCCCTTTAACAGGGTTCTGGATCATCAGACTTTACTTCCAAAAGCTGAAATGAAAAATGAAAAGAAATTCACAAGTTTTTGACGGACCTCATCAAGTATACGTAAAATTAACGAAGTGAGGGTGTGAGGTGGGAGAGAGAGGATATGAGTGTGTCATATGTATCATTTCAATTTCCTATTTTTAACCCCAGTGTGTCGGCTAGATGTTGCTCAAATCTAACGCGTCTCGTCTCTAGATATAAGACCGATATTAAAGGAAGAAGCTACAACAACCCCAATCAATTATATATATATATATATATATATATATATATATATATATATAGATAGATAGATAGATAGATAGATAGATATAGGATAGTTATATAACAAACAATTTTGCGATCATTTTTTCCTGTCGGACATTTCTAAAACAAAGAATGAAAGCAACCCAAGTAAACTTTCTTCACTGGGAAACCGTCTAGAACATTTTTGGGGTATCCCGGATAGAAAGGTTGGTTAGACTGACCTTGCCATCAGTCATCCCTCTTTCTCTCTCTCTCTCTCTCTCTCTCTCTGTGTCTTTCTTTTTAATCGTCACAATCCCATTTCTTTAACCTCCTCCTCCTATTCCTCTCAATTTGAATTAGTTCTACCCTTCACGATTTGTGAGCCCTGCGGTGAGATCCGGTTTAGGTGGAGAAGTGTGACACCCGTTGTTTATTTCGTTTTATTTATTTATTGGGGGAGAAGAGAAAGCATCATCATAATTGACTACCATCTGCTTTCCGTTGAATGGAGAGAGAAGCTTTCATTTGAAGCCATCTTTAACCCACTCATTTGCACGTAGATAACACGTATATATGGAGGAACATCTGTCTATCTATCTATCTATCTATCTATCTATCTATCTATCTATCTACTGTGAGATTTAGTGCTATGCGTCTCTGCTTTTTCAGCGTTTCTCTCGATATAGAATTATTAAGGGACGTTTGTTGCATTTCGTTCCCTGTTTTTAGATATACAAAATTTAATATATTAAAAAACATAGCATCACATTCTTTTCAATTTTCATCAATGTCTCTCACCTTCATATCTATCTATCTATCTATCTATCTATCTCAGTTTGTTCTTATCTATCTATCTATCTATCTATCTATCTATCTATCCCAGTTTGTTCTTATCTATCTATCTATGTCATTAATTGTCACATGCCTCACTTCGTTAATCAACAGTTATCATACTTCTTGTCTCATAAATCATTGTTAATGATTTTTTATCAATTTTGAACAGAATATTTTTTTTAATTATCGTTCCATTTGCGAGCGTTTGCTCACCAGTCGTGGAATGTAAATATGGCCTAAACATTACGATAAAAAAAAAATCATAATAAAAAATAAAATTAAAAGTAAAACTCGCTAAAACGTTATGATAAAGAAAATGTTCCACATACGAAATTCAAACCCAAAATATATTTATATTCCAATCAGTTTATCTCTAGCTTCATATGATTTAGACGTGCTTTTTACGCACACTCACACACATTCATATATATATATATATATATATATATATATATATATATATATATATATATATATTACTGTAAACGTTAAGTTTAGTGGCTATTCGTATTTGAGTTAGGCCCTCTGTTTATTTATTAAACGGTATATTTATTTATTTTATTTCAGTGGGGGTTGCTGAAATACAAGGACATAAAAGGGCTATTACTTGCTGAGGGAGAGATACAGGGATTCGCAACCAAGGGTCTAATGAGCTCCATGGGCACTAGTTCTCAACCACGGTTCCACAGACCCACAAAGCTGAATTAAATCAGTTTGGTAATCTTGAGTGATAAGGAATAGTGAAAGTGAACAGAGACAATGGAGGAGGCAGGCAAGATTTCCCACGACTTCCAGCCGTTCGTATTCAGAACATCTTTAGAAAATCAAAATTTACAGGTCGTTTTTCAAAAGACATCATCAATTCTCATATCGAAATACGGGGCAATTCTGCCTTTTGGGTGACGATTGTCAACGCTTATTTCTCAATCAGAAATTACAAATATTCCCAATTTTCTAGAAAAATTCCGAGCTCCTCGGCAATTTTTTTAAGTAAATTAGCTACTTAGTTGGTTAATCAACCAACAAACCAACTAGCCAACCAACCAATTAACTAGAAAGCGAGCCAGCCAGCCAATCAACAACCAGTCAGCCAGCCGGCCAGCCAAACAACAATCAAGCAACCAGCGAAGCAAGCAAGCAAGCAACCAGCCAGCCTGCCAGCAAGCCCACTATCCAGCCAAACAAACAACTAACCAACCAATCAGCTAACCAACCAACCAACCAACCAACCAACCAACCAACAAGCCAGCCAGCAAGCCAGTCAACCAACCAACAAACCATCCATCCATCCAGCCATCCATCCATCCATCCATCCATCCATCCAGCCAGCCAGCCAGCCAGCCAGCCAGCCAATCAACCAACCAACAAGCCATCCATCCATCCATCCATCCAGCCAGCCAACCAACCAACCAACCAGCCAGCCAACCAACCAACCAACCAACAAGCCATCCATCCATCCATCCATCCATCCATCCAGCCAGCCAGCCAGCCAGCCAACCAACCAAGCCAATCAACCCAACCATCCATCCATCCATCCATCCAGCCAGCCAGCCAGCCAGCCAGCCAGCCAATCAACCAAGCAACCATCCAGCCAGCCAGCTAGTTAGTCATCCAACCAAACAACCAAACAACTAGCCAGCTAGCCAACTTGTCAGCCAACCAACCAGCCAGCGAGCTAGTCAACCAACCAACCAACCAACCAACCAACCAACCAACCAACCAACTAACCAACCAACAAGACACCCGGCTAGTTAGTCAAACAGCCAACCAACGAGTTAACCTGCCAGTCAACCAACCAATCAACCAGCCAGCCAGCCAGCCGGCTCATCAACCACCCAACCAACCAGAGGATGTGTGTCGTGGTGTAATGCATAACCACTCGGTAGAAGAAGAACCTCGTTTGAATTCCAGTCGGTTTTATTAAACAACTTAAGCATAAATGCCCTTTGGGGAAGATATGAACTAATCTATACTCCCCGCCCCCAAACAAAGTATGGATTGAATATCAGAACACCCGGGGGTCATATATTCTTGGTTTGCAACCAGTCTACCGCAGAAGGAATAGAAAACTACTGCGGGAAAATCTGCCTAAAATGAATCGAACGCGTGTGTCGTGTATGGCACTTGACTCAGTTAACCAAAATAAGTTTTTCTTCCTTGAAATGTCAGTTTTCTCATGAAACCTCTTTTCAAAGTTGATCCTGTGTCGGTTGACATCTGTCACCTCGTGTACTCGATCCATCCGAATATGTTATCAAAACTGTTTCTTCTTTTTCTATGAAAAAAACATCATCTTCTATTTAGTCTGTCATCTCAACTACATCCCAACACCAATATGGGTCGCCAAATTTATCCCTTCTCACCTTATGAAGAAAGAAGAAACATCTTTCCATTTCCATGTGTCTGATTTAGTTGTATCCCATCTCAATTGCTCCTTCACCCCCAATAAGATCCTGAAAAAGTTATGGTCATTTCACTATAATATTCTTATTAAGGTTGGTTTTTTTTTTTTAATGTACAGTGTAACCCGGATATAAGAGACCCGGATATAAGAGAAACCCGGATGTAAGAAACTTCTTCTCCGGTCCCGACAACTCTCTTATATCCGGGTTACACTGTATATAAAAAAAAATTCAAAGCTTGTTTCCGCTTTTATATTTATAATATGAGTTGTCAAATTTATTTCTTCTACATAATAAATGAGAATGTCAGTGTGTCACTGTGTCACGCTTTTTCAAGAGGCCGTAACCCAACATTTTAGAATCAGGCCAAATCCGTGAGCAAATTAAAAAAAATTCCAGGCCGGATTCGAACCTGCAATTCTGAAATTTGGGATTCCCAAGTTTTCATTACTGCGATTGTTTTCGGCATTTTTTTTTTTTTTTTACGTGATTTTTTGCGACGATTTTTTTTTTTAAATTTTTTTACGGTAATAATTTTTATAACGTGGAAATAAATTTGAGAATAATCAAAATTAATTACAAAATCCACTGAAAGTCACTCATGAAATAAAAATAATTATTTGTACGGAAAAAAAAACAAAACAAACTTACGTACATCAAATTGTCTTTAAATTAAGTGGCGACAGAAGAATTATTTATGAATTTTTCAAAGATAATCTTAATAATTAATGCAATACATAAATGCAGCGATATTTTTTTTTTAGTTCTTCGGCAGATTATTGTTACCTATTGCATCTACCCTTCCTACCTATTGTGATGAAGGCCTAATAAGCGCCCTCTACAGGAGCTAGTTTAAATACCGCAGCAGCATTTAAGCTAGTAAAAAATGTAAAAGTAGTGTTGGGGAGGTCGAGTTTTCTTCCCTTCGTTGGAGAGGTCGAGAAAAGACCTTCCTGACCTTTCAATTTTCAAATTGACCTTCAAATTCCTGACAGTTTTTTTTTTTTTTTTTTTTTTTGGTGGCTAGGTCAAGCTCAATACTACAACACCAAATGTATGGAATAGGGCGGAGAGAATGGGGCGAATGAGAAATTTATTAATAAACTTGTTAAAATTTGAGGAAAAAGCGGACTTGAAAATGAATCCCACAGGCCGGAGAAGTACTATCTATCTATCTATCTATCTATGTCACTATTCATGTCTATCATTGTTCATATCTATCTATCTATGTCACTATTCATCTATCTCATTGTTCATATCTATCTATCTATCTATCTATCTATCTATCTATGTCACTATTCATGTCTATCATTGTTCATATCTATCTATCTATCTATCTATGTCATTATTTATGTCTATCATTATTCATATCTATCTATCTATCTATCTATCTATCTATCTATCTATAGTTAGGCACGTCCGCTTTTCGCTAAAAAACAGCATAGCATGATGAAGAAAGGCCAAAAACTTAATGAAAAAATTTTATCGTCAAAATGTTTATGTTATTATTAAGAGGAAAGACCAAAGTAGTTTTTTAATTATTAAAACCACGTTCGAAAATTTGGTTAAAAATCATGTTTTTTTTTTACATCTGCGATGTAAGAAATGAAGTCTTTGAGCTTTTTTTTGCAGTGAAAACAACATTGATTTAGAAATTCTTGCAAAAATCAAATAATTGTCGCATTTCAATGAAACTTTCAGATCATATTCACAAATAAATGAAATTAATTTTGAATTTTTTGTTTTAGAGAATATTCGTAAAAAGTATTTCTTTTTACATGTTACACCCCGCTTACTTAATTGTATGTCCAAACTTATTTTTATTAGTTAAAAGTAGGACTCCTTGGAGAATGTAAATCAATTTTTTTTTCAAACTTTTACTCATTTTCTGAAAATCTGCCCTGAATGGTAAACTAAAAAAAAAAAATGTAATGTAATGTATGATATTATTTAATTAGAAAACCTTTTAATTACTTTTGTAAATGAATTATATTTAGAACATTATTTTCTTAAGAAAAAATGTTTTCGATGAATAATGAATTTTTACGTGATTTTTTTTCATTTTTTAAAAATTTTAATTATAATAATTTATCATAATTTAAAAATCGTTTAAAATTGTCCATAGCGTTTTTCTTTTAGGTGATATTTTAATTAAAATTCAGAGACGGATATGCAATGTGATTGGCTCTGATCTGGCATCTCGTCTAAAGTCGCTCTCACACTGACGTGCTGTTGCCTTCCTCTGTCTTTTCTACAAATACTTTCACTGTAACTGCTGCGACGAACTACTTTCGCTAGTTCCCAGATTGCATAGATTTAAACGTGCTACTCGGCTGGCATCTTGGTCCCACCCTTTCACGATCGAAACAGTTGAATATAGCCGTCTCTTCTACTTCAATAGCACTTCCCATCTGTGAAATATCCTTCCTATTACTTGCTTCACTGATAGCTATAATCTCCAAATATTCAAATGCAATGTCAATCGACATCTTCAGATGCTTAGATCTATTCCCCACCCTTCTCTTCATCCTTTCCTCTATCACGCCTTTTTACTCTTGCTCCCACTCCTCTGTAACCCGTTGCGCGCTAGTGGCACTCCCTCCTTGCTTGTGGTGAAATGCTAAAATAATAAAGAAAAAAGTAGAAAACTATAGTTACGAATCAAAAATTGAAAAGCTTAATATAAGTCGTTTTGCACCGATATTTTTAAAATAATTAAACATATTTTTTTTTTTACTTTAAGCATTCCCATTTTTCATCTATGGTAGTCCATACGTAACATTATTATGAAAAGGTCATGTGTTCAAAGAGTTGCCCTCTTTTTACATAGAAATTCGCTTGTATCCAATTCGTTATTCATTGCTTCCGTTTCAACAGGTTTTGAACATCATCCCATCTGTTTTAAAACTTTAAAATTCAAAGTAAGTTTAACTTTTTTTCAATTTCTACTTCACGAAATATTTTCATTTTATGTATTTATTTTATTGTGGATCATAAATTATTGAGTTACTTCTATAATGGTATTTCATTTCAGTTATTACATTTTAAAATTAATCTAAGAAAATGTCATAGTCTTTTAAATTTAATATTTTTTCATAAAGGATCTTCAAACGTAACTAAAACTCAATAAAATATTAGATAATTGCTGAAAATATGTTGATTCATAAAAATTATTAGGTAGTTAACCCCCTTAAGAAAAAAAAAAAAAAAAAAGATGCGTTCACCTACATTTCGTAAGTTTATGTCAATTCTGGTCATCCATACTAGCTGTGAACACCTCGTAGCTTATTGATAACGTCAATTAAGACATCAGAAAAACAGAAGCCGTCATTAAGAAATGCCTGTATACTATTTTTTATGCTATAAGTAAGTAGTATTTGTTTCAAATCAGATTAATTTAACTTTAAATTTGCTAATTTTACTCAAATAACATATCACAAATATATATTTTATTTTTGGAAGATTTTTAAAATCGATAATTAAATTTCATTTTAAAACTTGTTAAAATGTAAGAAATGGCCACCAGTAAACAGATTTTTTGAAATTGAGCAAATATTTGACATTCCAATTTATATAATTTCTATTTGAAATACACCAGACTATTTTACTTACTGGAAATAGTGAATTTAATCCTTTAGTTTTCAATTAAAGCTAAAACGAAATCTTCAAGAATGCGTTTTCAATTTAAATAAAATTCATTTGAAAACTTAGGTATCGAAAATTTATACCGAATTAGTGGGGGTATCTATCTATCTATCTATCTATCTATCTATCTATCTATCTATCTCATTCTGTTCGTATCTATTAGGTACTATCAAACCAAAATGGATAATGTTTTCTGCAATGGAAGCAAAAATCGCTACCCTCCTGTTTTAAAATATTTACCAAAAATCAGGGAGTTATCCGATTCAAACAAAATTTTCAGAAGTTATTCATTAGTGGATTAATATTTTGCTGAATATTTTATTTTATTCAAATACTTTTGGAAAATATTTTGAGGCGTGTGTTTTACCATCACTTTTGGTGGGTGCTCATCCACATTTTTTACATTTATATGAAAATAAATTCTTGCAAATATTATTTCGGTAAAATATGTGTTCCGTATGATACCGAAAATTTGGCCCGCATTTTGTCAAAAACAGTTCAATATAAAAGTAAAAAATAATTTTTGAGAATTGATACTTCCATAATTTAATAAAACACGTTATTTTCTTTCAGATTCGACAGGAAAAAAAATCTAAACTTAATATTTATTTTTTAAAATTACTTTGATTTGAAATTAATCTCTTTGTTGTTCGTTACAAGAAAGTTATTCTTTTAAAATAAAGACACGTTTGAAGATTTACAAGATACAAAGTTTAATTTTATTTTAAAAGAGTTTTATTTTATTTTTTTAAAATTTAGTTTTGTTTTATTCGCTCTTTTTGGACATGGGTAGAATTACGATCTTTCTACTTTGTCCTTTGACCAAACGTGTTAGCGTGCGCAAATATAAATGATATTTTCATTCTGTTTCCATTAAAAGGAAAGCATTACTTTTAGAAAATCCAGTTGATTAATCATTAAATTGACTAAAAACTCACATCACTAATACAAATATTGGATTTTAAAGAGAATTTTATATTTGTTGTTTACATTTTTCGTATACAATGGCGGCACGATGAGTGAGGAAAAAATTGCAAATGTTTTAAAAATACCCTCAAAAGTTTATTTATGCACGGAAATATTTTCATACGGATGTATATAGTGATAGCAGGAAATAAATTCCAAAATAACTTCTAAATTTTAATACTAGACTATGTAGGTGTATGAAAGATAAATAATAAATAATCATACTTATTATAAAACCCAGGTTGTTTGTGTGTGTGTGTGTGTGTGTGTGTGTGTGTGTGTGTGTGTGTGTGTGTGTGTGTGTGTGTTCTGTGTGTGTCTGTTTATATATTGGATCGGTTTCCTACATTTCAACTGATTTCAACAAAACTTCACAGGACTACGTAAAATTACCTTGCGGTGGTTCTGACAGCGCCAAAATTGGAAAAACAATTGTTTTTGCACGAAATCAATTTGAAAACACGATTAAGAGGCGTCACGAGAATGAAAGGGGGACAACTCATATCGAGTTATACTTATTATAAAACCCAGGTTGTTTGTGTGTGTGTTCGTTTATATATGGGATCGGATTTCCTACATTTTTCAACCGATTTCAACAAAACTTCACTTTTTTTTTTTTTGGCAGGTAGTGTTTCTTATTGTCTTGCACACTTTTTTCTTTATTTTTACATTCAGAATGCTTTAAAAATTCCATTTACAAGACAATTGTTTATAATAAAATTCTATTCAATCGGTAGACTCATAACGATTGAAAACAATGCTTTTGTTTGAGTTTGGGTTTGACCAATTCGTAAAAAAACAACAACAAAAAACAAACAAACAAAAAACAAAAAAACTAATTAAGGCGTGCGTGTCCGTCAACCTTAAACAATAATCTTTGTCAATTTTATTTTTCAGTCTTTATGATGGTCGATACTTGATCAATCTCTTACTGTTACAATCCCCGGGCAACGCCGGGCTGTACTGCTAGTTAATAATAAAAGAAAAAATTAAAATTTAAGATAATAAAATTAGTTTGGAATATAGATACGAAGTAAAAAATAAAAAAAAATGTGAGATTATAAAAAAAAAATTGTTAAATAAATATGAAAGCTCCCATCATGCACCGGAACAGGCGTTTTTGCCGGCAATTAAAACAGAAATCAAATTTCCATCTTCGACGGACAAACGAAGCGGTGGTCTGTGAACAGCGGTCTGACACACCATGTGGTAAATAACAGAGAAGTACAAACTATTTTTCTCTCTGTATATGTATATATTCTTTAAAATATACTTTATAATATATTTTCTCTGAAATGTACACGAAAGCCTTTTATGTTTTTTGTTTACACTTACTGTATTGTATCCTGTATATGATTTGTTTATGATTTATATATTTCCGTTATGAACCCCCAAACTAATTGTTATGATCCGGTTCCTTGTACCACGGTGATAGTCCAAGGTAGAACCAATAAAGAAGAACTCGAACATGGATATGGAATAACACAGATATATTACAAACAGGAATATATACAGAGAAGTAGAAAGTGTTAGTACGAACAATCAGGTTTAGTAGTAATTGTCTGAACGCGGACTGCCTTTGACTCGACTGACTGACTCGCTCGCTCTGACTGACTGACTGACTGACAGACTCCTTACGGACTTCACTCCAGACTTCAGACTGAACTTTGAATATATATATATATATATATATCAAGAAGTACATTCAGACAAGGCGACGCATCACAGGACAACCTACAACAAGCTTTAAAATATTATCTTTCAAACAAAATTTAATTTCAAAGAAAACATTTAAATTATTTAAAATTCTCTCTCTATTTTTCTATATATATTTACTTGACAAAAAACTTGAGGGCTTTTTTAAAACTTAATTTTACCTCATAGAAGAGACTTGTCCTTTGTTCGCCTCTGCTTTGTTTGATTATGGCACTTTGTTAAAAATTAAACTTACTTGGTGAATGAAAAACAATTAACTGCTTGAGTATATAATAACTTGTATCATTCATTGCCACGCTATTTTAAAAGGGAAAATATGCATAATTTAACAAAACCCCTAGAATATATCGTCTTCTTCATGTGCCGTATCCCCTCAGGACGTAGGGGATCAGGGCTTACCAAAATTTCCCGTCCTTTTTAGCTTTTAATATATTTTGTCTTTTCGTTAATTATCCCAAACCTCGTTCCGCGATCCATTTAGTCAAGCCCACTAAGTAGGTTATGCGTTGATTTCCTCTGTCCCTCTTGGCTTCAATCTGTCCTGTGAGTATCAGATTTTCCAAACCATCTTTCCTTTCCTCATTATATATCCTAAAGATTCAGCTATCGTCAAACTTAAAACATTTTTCCACATTTCAGTTGCGTCTTGGTTTGGTTTAGTTGAGTAACATTGGCCTTGAGAATATCGAACGGAAAACGAGACTTTACGTGATTTCTGTTACCGTCTTACAAAGAGAAACACCGTAAGACGAGAGTCTCGCATCGGATTGCAAGTTACAAGGCATGCTGGGAGTCAGAAATATCATCAATATTGACTCATAAAACTAAAAATGGCCGAAAGCAGACTAATAACATTTGAGAACTTATTTCCCGGTTCTTTTTCGGATTCACTGGCAAACAGAAATATGAACCAGAACAACAAAACGAGGAAGGAACGACTAAGTCAACACGTCTGAAGAAAGAAACAAATAAAATTAAAGAAAATAAAAATGTGTAAATGAAATAATAAAAATCTAAAACTGAGAACTTTGCAACAAAATGTAAAATTAACGAAAGCCAACACTAAATATGATTTGGATCAAATTGTTTCAACATTATAGCAGTATTATATTTCCTGTCTCGCTTTAAGTCTTATCTACGAATTGCGATGTTCACACGCATGCGTATGCTAGTGCGTCCAAACGTAATGTCGTCTGAGGGTACGAATTATAAGCGCGTGTGTGGGCGTTTTTCTCTTGGGATTCATTTGGTTATAAAGTTTTATTTTTGTATGTTCCTTTTTTCAGTTGTTGCTTTTTTTTCTTCTTAATACAGACATCAGACACGACGCCACAAAATAAAAAAAAGTGTCGGAGGGATCAATTTGATTTTAAAAGTGGGGGTGGTCTAAGCCCAATATTAAGTTTTATAAATTCCTGATTCTATATTTTCTTAATCTGATCCTTTCATAAAATTAATATATACTTGTTTTAACTCGTGGAAATTTCACGGTTTTCCTATTTGAATTTTCCGATCAATCGTAATTCTTAAGTTAATGACTGAATAATCTTATGGCGAGTTCTACGACAGAAATTTCCCTATCGCATCATTAAATATTTAAGCTTAACAAAATATTGTAATAATCATAAACATGGAGGGTTGTTATTTTAAGAAATGGGTCCAAAAGAAAAGATTTGAAATTGACAACTTTCTACATTTCACTGAAACAGCCGTTAAACACTTTTATCTTCTTTCTTTCATTCATTTCCTCATTGAAGCCAAATGGTAACTTTTTCCTCTTTCCATTCGATCAAAATGAAATAGTCCATTATTTATGAAGTATTCGCAGGAGACGTTAGACACTTCTTTCTTTCTTTCTTTCTTTTTCTCACTGAAATTAAGTAGTGTCTTTTCCCCTTTATCTACGTGATCGAAACAGAATAGTCCATTATTTTTAAGATATTGGCAGGACGTAACGGTCGTACAAACTAACGAAGAGATAGACAAGCACAATTATAATAGGATTTTTTTTTTTTTTAGATCAATTACTCTACTGTAAACATTTTTTTCCATTATGATTCCAGATAAAGATTTTACTGTTTGTACAGTGTAACCCGGGTATAAGAGAGTTGTCGGGACCGGAGAAGAAGTCTCTTATACCCGGGTTTCTCTTATATCCGGGTTTGGTCTATTATATATACATTGACACAGGCTCTATTTTGGGACCAGAGAAAATCTCTCTTATACCCGGGTTTCTCTTATATCCGGGTCTCTTATATCCGGGTTACACTGTACTTATTTTCTGGAATGGGGCATTTCCGCATATAATGAAACCATATAATAATTATTAATGTGTATTTATTTATATATTTCCAGTATGTATTTCCATAGTAGAAAGGAAGGTAAGTAAAGGTTAAGTTAGTAAAGTGATGAGTGATTACTTTTCGTGGTCGTTTTAATAATCTATACAAATAAAATATTTTTCTGCATTTAGACAAAATT